GCTTTACACCTGCCCTCCCATGGCAAAAGGGCATAACTGACAATTTGCTGTTTTGGAGATATTAAGCAAAACGTGTAATTTATTTAGCCCTAAAATGTGTTTCAGTATTTGATTTCATGGTTAATGTATTCAAATAGGCAAATAATGTCTCTTCCAGTGTAGCACACATTTTTTCTATAAATATTGATTTTTGCGCTCACAATGTCAGTTATGCCCTTTTTCCGTGGGTTTTCTGATTCAAGACATGTTGACAAACTTTGGCAAAAGGATATAAGTACCCAGTTTAGTTCCTTTCAACGCAATTTTGAGTCAGATTATTCAAAAATAACATTCAATACTATAATTTCATATTAGTCATGTATAAACTATAAAATAAATGTACAATAATACCAAATAAACGCATTAAATAATAAATACTAAAATTACAAGCGATTAAAAACCCATGTATAGGATAACCAAGTATACAAACAAGAAAATGAATTAACATTAGTATGCTATTATGTATCAACAAAGCCTTTTTGGCTCAATGTGCTAGATAGAGGACCCTGTTTGTAGGGGGCCTCATGGACCCCTAGGGGTCTGTCCCGCACAAGAGCGCATAGGCGTTACGTCACTGCGTGAAGGATGCATGCGTATGCGTATATGAAATAGAACTGCTGTTATAGTTAGAATGCGCGTGTGACTGTTTCTATGTGTACGTTAAACAAGAATTACAATCATTTTTTAAATTTTATTTACAAAGTAAAATAATAAATTTATATTTTAAGTCACGTAATTACAATATAAATTAGGCCTATTATTATTATTATTATTATTATTGTTATTATTATTATTATTAGCAATTCTTCTCTATGATCCAAATTCAAGTAATAATGAAATGATTACGAATATTATTGTTTTTTTATATTCTAATAAAATATTTTGAAAAAGTATTATATATATAGATTTAGATGGAAAACTAAGTTGTTGTTTGCTTAGTGAACACAGTTTATTCGAGTAAACTGTGCATTTATACCTTTTTGTCATGCCATTTGCTATAATAAATGTTGTAGTTGTGCCTCTTTGCCATAGTTATTTGCTAAATAATCGTTTTAGTTGTCCCTCTTTGTCACTGTTATTTCTAGTTAAAATGTGAATTGTTATTTTGCCATGGTTAATTATTTTATTAAACAGTTACTATTTTCCTATAGTTTATTTCCATAGTATTAAACTGTTGCCAATCAAAGTAAGGCAAGATTATATAGCATAAAATAACTAGGCTTATCATGTTTAATGTTAACATTAACTAGACATATGCTACTGTCAAGAATCATACTATTTAACCAATTTCTATTTACATTTCTTACTGTTTGTGTGAGTACACAAACAGTAAGAATAATAAAAATAATACAACTTAACATGCAACCTTCATTGTAACCAGGGAGAAAGCTCTCTTCTGAGTGGTTGGCTGTTGAAAGAACGTCACGCTTCAGCGTATCACAGCCTATCTTTGCAGTTATGCCCTTTTGCCTTGGGAATTTACTGAAAATTGTGTAGTTATGCCCTTTTGCCCTGCCCCTATCTAGCCCGGGGGACATTTTTTTACAATTTTTTTTGTGTCAACATGTGTAACATGATTTACTGACCCCACTAGGCTATATAACTCATTGTCGCCAAAAATGTCAGTTATGCCCTTTTGCCATTGGGGGGGGGGGCAGTGTTGATATAAGCTGTCCTAGTTATCTTCATCAGAGATTATGAAATTTTCTTTGTTAATCCAGAAAACCACACACTTCTGAGAATGTAATATTCAAATTCATTTGGGTAGGAATCCATCATTTCTGAAATTGCAGTATCTCAACTGCTGGTCGATTTTGGTACATAAAATTTGTGTATTTACTTTCAAGTGTAGGTTTATGGTTATTATATCATCAAAATAATTTTTACTTTATTTTTTTCTTTAAATTACTTTATATTCTTTATATTACTTTTTGTTTTAAGTGTCATTTTTTTTTCTCACTCATTCCAGACTATTCAGTGCTGGAAGCACATTATCAAAGTTAAATTTTCATGAGGCAAAATTCTTTTTTTCCTTGTCAATTGTCATCCTTTGCCCCAAGAGTGTAAAGAACGTGCAATGGAAATAAAAATTATTATTTTTACAAACAAAAAACATGTTATTGGACACATGGTAATACACACTAATCAAAATATTCTTGCCAAAATCACTGCAGCTGTCATCTTCAAGTTTAGCCTTAAGTCTGGTTCTCACGAGAGCCCTAGTATCCGGATTGGGAGCTAACGGTTAGCGCTAACCGTTAGCACCTTCGTGAGCGGTATCCGGATACGCTAACGGTTAGCAAGCGCTATCGGTTAGCAAGTTGAGGGTGTTTCTATCATCAACCAATCACACATACGCGTTTACAATTTCCAGTGATTCGATCACCATATTGTTGGTATCCGGATCAGGATTTTCTCACATGGACGCATGGCAGCTAACAGTTAGCAGGATCCGGATCCTGCTAACCTTTAGCTGCCGTGTGAGAACGTAGCCTTATTGTAGTTTACAGTAGTACAACTGGTACACACCGAGACAGGTTTACGTGTGACTCCACAGTGAAATATCATCTGTACCCTTTTAGCATAACGTATTCAGATTTACAGTACATATTAAATGTCTTAAAAATATGGAATGGCCGAGGAGTTAAGGTAGGGGCACTGCAACCTATATAGCCATAATAACGGTGTTGGTTCGAGTGGCACATAGATAGACTGCCATCAATATTACTGTAATCAAAGCATCAAGGAAAGAGATTTGATTATTTACCATAACTTCCATGGTGAATTTTATGGAACTAGTCGGGTCAGCTTGATTTAGATGAGAGATCAGGTGGTCAGTAGCAAACTTCGGGATTATGGCCAAGATGTCATTGACATAACGTCTCCAATATATTGGTCGAAATTGCTTGGTTTTCTAACCACTCCATGTATATGTTTGCTATCACTGGAGACACAGCTCTGCCCATAGCAATTCCCTGTAGTTGGATGTAATTAGGGCAATTCCACGGTAACAGATTGACATTCACACACTTTTCAATTTTCAAAGGTGTATAACATCTACACCTGTATTTATTAACTCAAACAAGTTTTACAGTTCTATAACACATGATTATATAACACTCTACAAGCTTTTTTTTTTTGTCTTCCTGTTTTCAAAATATTCATAATTAATATATATGGTAACAGATTTACTGAAAATGGAAAAGAGATTTGTACCATTGTACATACTATAAAGTCTGTGAATTTAGAGAATCAATGTTGTTTTCAAGGTATTAAAATGAAAGTATAAGGGCTTAACAATAAATGTAATAGCTTTCATTTTTAAAAAAATGGTAAGTTATGAAGATATGGCATTTTTATTAATAAGCATACAGTAACAGATGGATGGTAACAGATGGATAAAAGGTTATTCATGAATTTGGTAATAATCATAGTAAATGAAAACAAATAATATAATAGAAAATAGAAAAAAAATAATAGCATATCAAATGCAATAATGTAAATTTATCTTTATACAAAAATTAATAAAAAATATTTTTACCGAAATGAAAGTAAATATATAGATACCGATTCAAAGTAACAATAGGAAATTTCAGCTTCCAAAATGAAATATAATGGCTGTTTATTAAAAAAAAATTCTATTGATTGAAAATAATATTGTTCAACAGCTTTAGTTATGAATACATCAGTTATTGTAAATAAATGATGAAATCTAGATCTTAATAAATATCTTAAATCTATCTTACTACTAAAGACTGTACAGTATTGTATCTTTTAACAGATTGCATGAATTAAATAAGTATACATAGTAGGAAAGCCACTGGAAAAATCGTGTCGAATTTCGCCTAGGAGAGAGCGCCCTATTTTTTGAAATTCAAATTTTCAGAATTTGATGGTGTTTGAAAAAAACGTTAATTCATCAAGTAACTTACTTAACAAAACAAACATAATAGTGAAATAAGTTTATAAATAGTTTAACAATATAGTGAAATATTTTTGGTGTATTTGGACCGAAACCATAAAGAGTAATTTAATAGACAATTCGTGGTACACAATTTTTACGAGTTTATGCTTTAGTAATTCGCGAATTTAAAATACAAAAAAATTTTGAACAGTAAAGCATTTAAAATCCCTGCTGTAAAAATTTATAATCTATAATTTCAAATATTAAGATGAAAAATCGAGCCCCGTACTCGGGAAGTTCATAATATACAGAACATTTCAAAGACCGTGTGCTACACAAATAATTAATTTGTATGAAATAAATATATACACTTAGAATAAATATTATTAAGTATGTAATCTTCTAACTCAGTAATTTATAGACAATATTACACAGTTTGTCTCTATTTGATACCTATGCGAGGCTGAGGCCTAAGCAGTAGACACAAGGGGGCCTAGCATATTAGCGTACCCGTAAATATG